CCCCGAAAACCCCTGAGTACTCAGTTTTATCACGTGTATCTTTTGTGCATAATATTAACATTTTGATTTGTCAATTTCATTGCGAAAGTTGAGGACAAGTTCCTGCAACATGGAAACATTATATGAAAATATACCTAGTGATTTTGAATCCATTGATGGATTGTGTGATTCTGAGGATGAAGATGTTGATATTTCTGATGTTGAGACTAGAATAAATCACGATGTGGAGCTTTCAGAAGAAAGTGACGTTGGAATGGATAGTGTTGATGACAGTGACAATGAATCAAATGAAATTCTTACAGTACGATTAGCAAATTCAGATGGAATTTGGGAAAAAAAATCAAGATCAAAAGATGACACCCCTTTCACTACAAATTCTGGTCCAAATATTCCGGATTCAGCCAAAACTCCGTTGGATATTTTTTTGTGTTTATTTCCTAATGAACTTATAGAATTGATTGTTCATCAAACTAATCTTTATAGTGCTCAAATAGAGAAGAAGCCGTTCAATGTTGTTACAAAGGATGAAATATTGAAATTCTTAGGTTTGAACATTTTTATGGGTGTAAAGAAACTGCCATCCTATCGTGATTTTTGGTCAAGAAATGAACTGCTCCATGACACATATGTCTCAAACGTAATGACTGTCATCCGCTTTGGATACTTATTATCTCATTTTCACCTAAACGACAATTCAAATGAACCAAAGAAGGGGCAGCCAGGATTTGATAAGTTATATAAAATCAGACCTTTACTCGATAAACTATCTGAAACTTTCAAAACCTGCTACAAACCAAATCAGTACCAATCAATCGACGAAAGTATGATTCGCTTCAAAGGAAGGAGTTCATTGAAACAATACATGCCGATGAAGCCCATAAAACGTGGCTATAAGGTTTGGGTACGTGCAGATGAAAGTGCTTTTGTGTGCGAGTTTCAGGTTTACGTAGGAAAATCAGATAATAATCAGTCGGAGAAGTCATTAGGATCAAGGGTGGTGAAAGATCTAACTCGAACAATTGTCGGAGATAATCACCGAGTATTCTTCGATAATTTTTTTACCAGTACTGAACTTATGATTTCCTTGAAGACTGAAAATATTATGGCATGTGGAACTGTAAGAAGCAACAGAGTCGGTTTACCCAAGACACAAAAGAAAGATAAGGATATGGTAAGAGGTGAGCATGAATTTCGTAGTTCGTACAAGGGTCTTGTGTGGCTAAAATGGAAAGACAATCGAGTAGTGTCACTTCTATCGAATTTTCATGATCCTTCAGTTACGATAGATGTCAATCGACGAATGAAAGATGGTTCGACAAAAATTATAAGCTGTCCTGAAATGGTAAAGGAATATAATAAGCACATGGGCTATGTCGATAAGGCGGATATGTTGAAATCCTTATACGAAGTTGATAGAAAGTCAAAGAAATGGTGGCTGCGAATAGTTTGGCACTTTGTTGATGTTTGCGTGACAAACGCTTTTATCATTTACAAACAAAGTAGCAGCGCAAACAATCTATCGCTAAAAAAATTCAGACTTGCGCTCGTGGATGGATTGATTGGTGGAAGTGTTCCTACGAAAAAAGGCAGGAAACGTTCTTCCGCTGACTGTGCTCAGACATGTAAGCCACAGGTGTCCCTTGAAAAGAGACATGCTTCTGCGGCTCACATGCCTCAAATGATCGAGGAAAAGAAATCGAGACGTTGCACTCATTGCTCAACTAAAATCAATCGAAGAGTCACAAAATGGAAATGTAGCACCTGCAATGTACCTTTGTGTCTCTTACTCGATCGCAATTGTTTCGCAGAATACCACGCTTGAGAAGGTTACGAAGTAGGATGTATTTATTTCAAT